TTGCTAAATCCATACCGTCATTACCATACGCAGTGGAGTAACGCACCCTTTTCCTTTTTTTTTGGATTCTAGTTGACGTTTAGAATCGGGGGGCAAAAACAACAGAATGAATGTTGGGACAGTCGGATTAAATTGGTTGGTCGGGCGGTACTGATGGGTGGCGAGTAGCAACAGTTAAAGTTGTGTCGATAGGGCGGCATTCGGAAATGACGCACATCCATAAGCCAACTGTCAACTAGGCTTCAGTCCTAGTGCATTAATCAAAACAAGAAACCGGTAGTGTTTTATACAGAAATGCGCAAAAAGCGACTGCTAGAAAACCACGCGACTATAATTTCGCTGATAACATTTAGTACATGTCATTAGCTTACAAGCTAAACGTCAATGTCAATTCACCAATACAAAATAAAGCTCTTAAAGCCAGAAACCCTCTCGCCGCACCAGCAACAATACCACTGAAAGGATCAATACTTCGCCCACAGTTGACAGTGAGTTGCATCAAGCACCTCTCTTCGTAAACTAGCTACACCTTTAAGTATGGGCGCGTTTAATCGGACAGGCAAAGTCCTATCACTGCTGCAGTAGGCCTTAGGCTGCCTCGCTGTCCAAAGGTGCGCGTGTGTACGTGTTTCCGACCAATAGGCAGTTTTCGATTGGTCTACTTGTTCTCTACGATTGGGACACGCAAAAACTAGATGACGATTTTAGCGAAAAATACGACAAGCTCTACAACCTTGACATTTATTTGACAGTGCTAAGAGAGATTTTTGGGATACCACTATGACAATAATTTGGGCGTGATTAAGGAAAGGAAGTCCGCCGCGCGTATCGTTGTGGCCAATTCCCACCTCTGCTGTCAATTAACACCTACTTACCACTTTCAATGTGAACTTAATTATGGAAAGATTAAAAGATGGAAAGTAGTCCCAGATACACAACTCCAAGGAATATGCTTAATGTGAGGGGAAATTGCAAATGTATAGCCCAAATTAAAAATAACCTTTTACATTTTCCTTCTCAAACATCCACAATTTGTTCAGACCATCACAGCAGAACTTCTCAGCAGTCGCTGCACCCTTGATGCAGCGATTTGCCTTTAAAGTTGGGTGGACACATTTTCGCGACGTAGCCACTTAAAATGCACGAGTATGCCCCGTCGCAGCTATTATAACGAACCTCAGTTTCTCAATTGTTTTTCACCCGGCATTTTAAACCGAAAAGAACTTCCGATTTATGCAAAATCCCTTTCAAAAAGTGAATGCATCAAAGCTAATTCAGTGAATCAGTCGGCACCGCCCAGTTGATGGTGCAAGCATACGTTAGACCGGGACATCCAGCGAATCTGAGCCAGACCTAACTCCGCCCAGTTCCTTCCATCATCACACGTATCCATCCTGCCTCAATGAACAACGATAGACCTTAATTGTTGGGCAGTTAGCAATGCGTAACCACCCTCCAATATAGTGGCGCTAAAACAACTGAACTGTTTTTAATACATTGAAAAAATGAATAACCTGTATCCCAGCTACGAAAGGATGGATGCAGGTAAAGGGAACCATACCCATGTCGACTGAAGGTTGCGCACCGAAGTTTGCCTAATTCGAACCCAAATTTAGCTTATTTTCGAAGAGAAGGCAGACAACCTCATGTGTTCCCCGGTGTCGGAAAGGCGACCACTTTGGGGTGGTTCTACTGGTCTGGCTGCAGGCCTCAGTAACACAACACCTCCCCTAGCCTGGAGAGGCCACGATGAACGGTCCAGAATCAGGGTCACCTTTGTCATATGTGGGTGCGCAACGTAGCATCTCTACTCGGATGTACACTTGAACGCACGCTCCAACTCATTTATCATCTGTGTGTGTGTGTGCGAACAAAGAGACCAAAAATCGTGAGAATCGGGTACAAAAACGAGAAACCACATTGCAATTGTGCGTGCAAGAGGATGGAGGCACGGCCTTCGAGAGGGGATTGTGTGCGCTCGCAAGCGACTCAGAGCTCACGCGGTGCACGCATGCGTGAGTCACTCCACCGCAAATTTGACGATCTCAAGAACGCACAACTGCAAGAGTTGTTCATACACTCCGTAATTTGACTGTCCAAAATGTATACACTTGGAATACAGTGTTTGGGAAGGAATGTTGTATCGATGTTGCCAAAAAAGTCCACACACCACGACGTCTACCAATAAGTTAGAACCAGTGTACAAGAAAAGAAAGGATGCATTCCAATTCTTCCATCTTCGAGAATAAAGATAACTTGTGAAATCTATATAATAGTTCTTCTATATGAATTGGCGGCTTTAGCAGGCGATTCCAGAATTGCTATTAAATGCAATGCGTAAAATCTTCAAAGCACAAATTCTCAAGCAGGATGAAGAGAAAAGAACTACTTATAAATGAAAACAAAGGATGAGTAAGGAATAAGCAGCATAAAAGTTATTAGAACAAAGGAAGGGAAGATAATCACGTCCGATGTGCACAATGGTGCAAATTTGAGGTTACAACAAAGGTGAGATCGCCTGTATTGTAAGCTAACTTAACTAATAAACTGCATCACAAGCGTAGATGCTTCTAACCCCGCGCTCCCACTAGTAATCTAGCAACACCTGGATTGTTTTATAACCTTTTCGCATGACGGAGACTATAGGATTCCCTGGTGAACAACCCCGTTTATCGGGACAGATCGTCGCATAAATCCATTGCTAAATGCGTGGCTAGGCTACCGCAGGCCAAACTCCCACACCCCACCAGCCTGCAAACCGAAGAGTGCTCGCATAACCAAAGGAAGGGACTCGTCGATATCACAGCCCATTAAGGATGATTTGTAAACACATCGTTTTACTTCGCGTTCATAAATTGTCTGTGGAATAAAATGCCGATTCACCCACTTTATTCAAATCCCTGGGCAGTTTGTAAAAAGGGGTACATGCAATGAAGATGACGACAAGAACAACTGTTTCCTAAGTTGTTGAGATTTTTTGAAAGAAAAAACGATGACGAATCACACCTTGCAATCTGTCGCGTAAATTTGTAAACTCTGCCACAAAACAGGGAAGAAAAGAGTAGGTGGAAGCTATACGACGGATTAAGGGGTGATGGGTGGACGTGTGGATAAACGAATAGACAGACGGATGGAAGAGAGCCGATAGCTTCACTTTGCGCGCAGCCGCTCACCATCGGCAAGACGCATGATTCACCCAACCGGTGTGTGCGTGACAATGGTAATGAATGCGCTCGACACCTAGCGAAGGGATCCTAGAGGGCTCACATCACTGCAGTTGAAGATAATATATTTTAAAGCTCGGCTATTAAATCTCAGGCTTACGATTCGTAACTCCACCTGAATGTCACACAATGGACCTGCCGTGTTCATTGCACGACCTCGAAAAGCGAACGTCTAAAGTTGTATGCTCTCAACCCCGCCAAAGGGACGTTAGAAACGAAACAGTGCACAAAACCTCAATTCAGGACAGTGTTAACGTCAAGTAAGCCTCAGTTTTCGGAACTTAAGTTAATTGACACAAACCATTTGACAGATAATTCGACTGCCGACTCGAAATTGTTTAAAAGCGAATGGCTTAAAGCCCTCCACTCAAATCATTTTGCTTGTTAGGAATGTTGAACGTGTTCCACCTTCTCATAACTGCATGGAAAAACTTCGACTCACATCCATGATGCAACCGTTTGAGAAAAAAGTAGCGCGAAGTAGTTTGATTGGAAACGTTGCAAAACCAAGTCTAAATGGAACTATTCACAAAAGCATGCATACAGCCTTTTAAAGTCATTTTAGCAAAAAGTTGTCATACTACAGCAAACGGAGTGTATCTCGTTGATAGTCTTCAAAAAAAAGCGCCTGTAGAGCGAAAGCGCCATTTTTAAGGGGCCTGTTTCGTTCGGCCTAAATGGCCATTAAAAGGTCATAAATTTCTAGAAAAGGTCAGTTCAGTGTAGATTAGACAACCGCTTTGCTGTACAATTTGATCACATAAGAATGATCCACTGATAATGCCGGGGATACAGCAATAACCAGACTTGCAAACAGAGTCTGGATCCGTAAGTACCATAATTTCTGGAGACGTGATAGTTGTTCTTTTAAGATTCAAGAAAAAATTGTCGAACCTAAATTTAAAATTCAAGGCTTCGGTCAACTTAAACCTCCCAATAGTGGGGTAGGATTTCCGGTTGAAGTATTTTGAGTGAAAAAAATTCGGAAGGTAGTCTTACGTAACAGCGTTAGCTTGGGGCATGTTAGCCTAGGGTTATCCAGGCGCCTGGCATTGACGGTTCACCAAGAATCGAAGTGATGCATGCGTGCGCCACGGCTGACGCTTCCATGACTAAAATTGCTAGTAGCAAGCACGGACGACCAAAAATGGTACTCCAGTTATTTAAGTGTGCAGGCATTGACAATGCCAATCACAGGAATAGCTGGCATCTATGCAACAAGCAGTGGAAGTTATGAGGTCATCTGAAAAGCTTCGCAAAGGTAGGCTTCGGAAAGCGACCTCTGAGAAAATAAAAATTAACGCAGCGCATAGCTATCATTATGCCCTTCAAAGAAGCACCGAAACATTAGACAGACGAGCAGTCCCAAACTCTAGCCGAAAGCATCACATGTGTAGCAAGTAACTGCAACTTGACATAAACCTTCAAAAGTTGATGTGGTAGCAAACGTTGACCCTTGCACCTAAAGCGACACTTCCTCACGCAGTCTGTCCTAATTATCTCACCGAAGTTTTCGGAGCTAAATGTGACCTTATTG